AACACTCGTGTCATTCTTAAATCAACCTCACCTCTGTGCGGTTAATATTAACTGAACTGAATATAATCCAATACATGCATTGAATTCTTCGTATCTAGCTGTTCTTAAATATGGCTTATTAGTTTAGTATGTGATTAATAATTGGAATGTAAGGTATAATAGTTCAGGTGAGTTTACTAGTCCTAATAACGTAAAAAAAGGTTAAATACTATTATATCTTAAAGCCCAGTTTTGGTAAAATACGAGAACCAACACTAGTAGGTCCACAAATCAAATAATTGTTGTTCAGACAGCAATACACAAACCTCGTAGCAACTGAGTTGTCTCATAAAAAATTATTTAAAATGGAAGGAAAGCCGGACTAACATTGTCATGCTCTCAAGGAGTACAGTATGAGTGTAACGGAACCCCTGCAAAGTACATGACTATTTCATTGATGTCACCCATAATCTATGTCATATTTAGATAACTCGACGACAGCGACACGCTATTGGTTTGCCGCTTCACCTAGCCACTTGCAAAACCATTTGAGAAGTTTCTACTAAACCTAAACATTCGGAAACAATCCGTTGGTGTGAACTAATTATTGTTTTGTACTTGATTCCTGGTTGATTTTGAATTATAGGTACGATACGTCCGTTTGTGTTCACTTGGTTTTATTTGGCTTAAGTTGAACTGTTTCAGGAATTCCTAGTTAATACAATAATTCGAATACTTCTAAATATCATATCATTCCTTTGTATCTCTTCTTTCTAGTACAGTATATTGTGCAATTAGAATAGAAATATGCCTAACTACACATTTAAAATTTTCTACAAACATTTATTGGATTCATGTTAAGCTTCATTATAATACGCTCATTAATTCCACAAAAAAGTGACACGATATGTACTGCAACCGAGAATAAATGGCGAGGAACTACTGTACTATTCGGCGAAGGTCAGTAACTTGGTTTATTTGCTGCACTATGAAATGGCCAATAAGTGTATAAGTAAGAGAATATAGAGGACGAAGTTGGTTATTGTCTAATGACCGGTTATTAGTTATCCCAGTCTTGTAAGTTATGATAATATCTGTAACCAATACATTTACGCCGCTTGAATGGATCGCATACTTCATAGGTGTACATTCTTTAGATCGTCCACGGCTTTTTACTGATTATCTGACATTGCTCAATTAAGTGAATTGGAAACGTATGTGATTTCCATAATCTTTAGAAAAATAAGATGCATCTTACGACCAAACCACAACCACCTTTGTTTTTCTTAAATAGGTATTTCTTTTTACCAACTTAACTATCGACTAAATTACTTCTTCGAAGTATTACCACTTTCCTTTGTGTGTTAGTCTTGCGGAGATATATCGTGTCATAATATAAACCAAATCCATCAGTTTCAGTCAGCTACAACGTAGGACCATGCACATATATGCATCGGTCCAAGTTGCCATACCTCATTAACACAAGATGAACACCGGATTCATAAAAGTAGTTAATTCAGTGGTGGCGATATATAAAAGAAAGATTGCAATAAGGATATAGTACAGGAAGAAAGACTTAGTTCGTAGAAAGATATGAAGCAATTTTAACCTCATAGTTTGAGCGAAGACAGAGTGTATACACCGACGCCATTGTGATCGATTCTGAGACATGTCACCAAGAATCTCCAACCATTGGTTACGATAGTCACGCGGACCCCAACCAGGTAGTCTGCATCTACCAACATGGTTTAGACTAGAAGTCAGTGACTTTAAGAACTGATACCACGTCTTGATTTGGCCGCCCCTAACTTTCTTCCAACCATCTCCAACACCGGTTAGTATTGCACGTCGTGGTAATCGGTGTTCAGGCATACGTAACACGTGGTCCAACCATCTCAGTCGATGAAGATTCACAACGTCATCAACCGATTTACCATCATTCCCTGCGTCTAACATCACTATTACTTACCCGGTGATCCCAAAAATATTTCTAAGGCGTCTGTGGTCAGATACTTGTAGCTTACGAGTATCTTCTACTCTTAATGGCCATGTTTCGCTGCCGTAAATTAAGACAGAACGGACTGCCGCGCAGTATACTCGTCCTTTTATTAATAGACCGATATCTCGCCTTCGCCATAGGTGACGTAAGTTGGCAAAAGCCAAACGAGCTTTTCGAATCCGCGCTGAGATTTCGTCAGATACCAGCCCATTAGGGCGTTCGACTACTTCATTCCCTATCCTTAGTTTAGGTGTTGACGCAGACCAGTCCTGTAGCAGCAGCTCGAATTTAGAGGGAGAGAAGCGCATTCCAAACATTCTGGCATTGTTGCTTAGTGCTACCAAAAGACTGCATTTTATCATCGTCTTCACCGAATAGGACTATATCATCTGCGTATTCTAAGTCGATAAGTGAACCTCCTGGAAGATCAATACTCAAGAATTCAGTCGACGAGAATGTTATTTCCATCAGTAGGTTTATGATGAAGTTTAACAAAATGGAGAAGGTGCACAACCTCGACGGACACCACTTGAGGTTTCAAAAGTTGATGACAGTTCGCCATAAGCTCTGACTCGACTAGTATTGTTCGAGTAGAGTCTTCACAAGGTTTATGTATTTCTGAGGTACGCCTTTCAATGACAGACAGTCACAGAACCTCTCGGTCTACAGAGTCAAATACTGCTTTTAGGTCAAGAAAGAGCACCATTGTCGGACGCCGATAAGTAAGACTGTGTCCTAGAACCTGACGAATGGTGAATATGTGGTCGATGCAGCCACGACCAGGTATGAAGCCAGCTTGATTATCTCGTGTTTGCAGTTCACGAGTCTTAGTTAGGCGTACGATAGTTATTGAGGCTAGTATTTTAGATACTATATTAGTTAAACTACTCTCTCTATGGTTGTCACAGGATGATTTTAACTCTCTTATATATTAAGACGATAAGTGAATGCAACCAATAAGGTGGGATAACGTCTAACTCCCAGAACTTAGCTAAAATATTAGTCAACCTAATCGCTAAAATTGGACCACCATCCTTAAAGACCTCTGGAGCCAATCCATCCGGATTAACTTTAGCCTTTTGAACTTCAGCTAGAGTTGTGGGACCTACTTCAGTGTTCCATTCATACTGTCTGAGAATGGAGGGTAGTTGTAGAGTAGCTGAAGGCCAGCTGAATCGTTCTCTAAAATGTTCCGCCCATTGTTCTAAACATCTGAACTGGGAACAGATGAGAGTGCCGTCTTTTTTCGAAATAGTCTCACATCTGACTTATTAATTCCAGTCTCTTTTATTAGTCTGTAGAACTGTCTTGTGTTCCCTATAGCCGCCGCCTTTTCCATCTCTTTTGCTTTCGTTGCCCACCACCATCAGTCTCAAAGTCGGACAAACAGAAAACTGTACGGGAATGCCTGCAGTTTGATCATATTAAAGTTAATAACACAACGGTAAATATGCAGATAAAGTACCGTTGTTCACAACATATATAACAAAACCAAGATATAGCATCAATCCACAAAATTAGTGACTATTTTACAGGGCTACTTGGAGCGGTGGATTTTTTAGTTAAGATCTGTTTCGAGAATTCAGGTGACACGGCTCAAGGTATTCCTCAGATCGAGGGGATGTACACATTATTCCTGCCTCTGATTCTTGAGCTCTACAATTATTTCGTACGTTCCACTGGTTATATGCGACTACATGCTCTGTTTCCAGCTTTGACTAACATTTATAACTGTTAATTTCCTCCCGTTATGTTGATGCTAATTTTGCCAAATAAGATCGATACACAACTGTTCCAATCCAAGGTGTTCACCATAGACTCAGAATTACAGGAGACTGTTACTGGTTTCAGTGGCAGAGAAGTATTAACAGTACAAAAACACCAACTCAAAGACGATTAAGATCACAATTTCCAGTGCTTCCATGTTTTGAATAGTGGTTTAACATTCATCGATTCATGATCTCATGCAAAAACTCAACAATCACCATAACCACATACTGATAACTTATTAGGTGTTTATTCAAGGTGATCTATTAGCATTGATCGCTCACCATCATGCAAGAACTTCATACAGTGAGATGAATTAGTTAAATATGTCTAACCTGGGTTTTTATCGGTTGAATTTTGATGCCATATCCAACCAGAACTTATAAAGTGATAAAAGAACTACCGACCGAGGTAAGAGCAGTTATTCTGAATGGATGCAACATAGCAATACTGCTTGATATGTCATTCTTACATGAACAGAAGGAGATTCAAAACTCACAGCAGATCAACTCTTCCCAAACGGAAAAACCTTTGAGATTCAAAATAGTATTATAAACTGCCAGCCTTATTAAGAGGACGGAAGCTATCAAAGTTTTTTTTCCGACAGACATGGTCGAATGACCTAGGGGTGATTTGTAACCAGAGTACAGCTGATTGCGTAAGGGAAACTTTTTATACTCTTTTATCTACAACTAACTATTAAGTTCATTGAACTCCCAACATCCGATTTCGATCCATTAGGTAGTAAACGCACTAACCGTTCATTCAGACTTTTATCATAAATTGGAACAGTACAAAGTTCATTTGAATTCCCGTTATTTCATTCTTATAATAACCCAAAAAAGTTAAAGACTATGACTTGATAACTCCTTTCGATACAGTTTACACTCTGAACTGTAAAATCTCTTTTACTTTGCTTTATTTCAGTACATGAAACGATGCATATATTTTTATCTGTTATATAAAACGCACATCAAGAGTTTATCACTGTTAGAACCCAACAATATAATTAAAAAAACTGAAAACGAAGAAATCAAACGCTGAAATGAAAGGAAAACCATGAATATTTGATTTAATTTCTAAATTATGAAGTGGTGAATTGTCAAGTAGTAAACGTTCGTATTCATACAAGTGGGAAAGGAAGGTATTCTCTAGCGTGATCATAGTTGGAGAAAGGAAACAATAAATCCTAAGTACAAAATAATACTACACAAAAGAGTATGAAGAAATGATGGCCCAATTTGTGCCACTTAATTTATCCGGAATCTGCCATGACTACTCGCGGTAGTTTCGACGAAGTGTATTCTTGTGTTTCATTTGTACTAAACGTTCTGACAGAACTTTTAGGTACATCATTTGTTGGTGACTGTCGTTCTTTCGAACTGTATATGTTACTATACGTATTACAAAGATACATATAACCCAAATAAGTATCCTTATATGAGGAATTATAGTAGGTTTGAGATGTTTTCATGAGAGCTGAACGTAAAATACCTTTTAGATTGGATTCAAGTGAAAGTATGCGTGAAATTTTTGTTACGGAATAATCGTCTGATGGTACCAACGAGCAGTACTCTCCTACAAGCTATGAAAGAAAATTGGAACAAGCGTTAATAGTACTTAAACAGTATTTGGATATTCGTATAAAAAACCGATAGCGAAATTGTTGAAGTGATTTTCTTACTAGAATAATAAAACTACGAGAAGCGTATTTGTAGGAACTAAAATGTTTGTTTCGTGTTAAATATTTTACCATTGACATCAAAAAGCGTCTATGTGTGATTACACTTTGAATAATGAGGGACATTCTAACCATTTACTCTAACGAATCTTAAACCAAAGGCTCACAATCACTTTGCATACTGACTGGTGTTTACTACGTTGATTTGGTATGCAGTCAGTCAATTACAACGTAAGGCCAGGTAGATATATGCATCGGTTCAGGATGCCATACCTCATTAACACAACAAGATGAACGCCAAATTCATAAAATAGTTAATTTAGTGGTGGCAAAATATAAAAGAAAGATTGCATATAAGGATATAGCACAGGAAGAAAGAATTAGTTCGTAGAAAGAAAGGGCGAGACTCTAATTTAGGGACGAGCCAATCAGAAGCGTTTGAGCAATTTCAATTATTAGCCAATTAGAAGACAATATAAAGTAAAAATATATTACAAGAAAGTAATGAATTACAGTAGATATTCTTCTTTTACCTGATTTAAAAACTTGTTAAGGTTTGATAAAGGCTCAGAAGTTCTGAATTCATAATGCATATGGTATAGAAACTCGTCCATAGGGTTAAGGGTTAGAGGCTAGGGTTAGGTTTAAGATTAGGGTTAGGTTAGGGTTAGATTAGAGTTAAGGTTAGGTTAGAGGTTAGGGTGCTAACATGCGATCGGTTTACATCGAATTTTATAGGTGTTTATTGAGATGCTACAACCCTAACCCTATGGACGAGTTTCTATACCATATGCATTATGAATTCAGAACTTCTGAACCTTTACGAAACCTTAACTAGTTTTTAAATCAAGTAAAAGAAGAATATACACTGTAATTTTTTACTTATATTTTGACTTTATAGTTACTGTCTCCTGATTGGCTAATAATTGTCAAGGTCATTTAGGATTCGTTCAAAGGTTGTCCTTAAATTAGAGTCTCGCCGAAAGAAAGATATAAAGCAATTTTAACCTCATAGTTTGAGGTAGTCATGCGGACCCCAACCATGTAGTCTCCATCTACCAACATGGCTCAGACTAGAAGTTAGTGGCTTCAAGAACTGATATACTGTACACGGAATCACCATACACATAGATAATTAGGCTGGGTAATACTTACTTAACACTACTTTGTCTTAGAAATGCACCACCTATCACACAAAGAGCTAAGTACCTCAAGGCGCCTTGTTTTGATATAACACTTCAAAAAGATAGAAAACTATTACAGACAGTATAAACACTTCCTTGAGGATCAGTCTTTTAAATAGAGCTTCTTTATGGAAAATGATTTCTAATTTCATATTTAGAAGACAACACTTGGAAATTCTTCGGACCAAACCATAAGCCCAGGACATACATTTTACAATTTCATGGAGTGATACTTAGGTTGTTACTCTAAAAACTAAACCAAGTTCTTTTATCTATTCAAGTTATGTTGGGAACTAATTTCAGTTACGGAGTCATCAGCTTACCATCTTCGAAAGCGCCAGTTTCCAAGAACAATATCTAAATACTGTTCGTATTGAAATAAACGTGACGAAATGAAGTATAGCTAGATAAAGTTGCTTCGATGGCCGATACTCCACAAGATAACTACGGGTTAACTGTAAAACTACATTACTCTACTCATTGTAGAAGGGAGCTGCTGATTGATACTTTATGATTATGTTATTGAAAAAATCCCCTAACCGAAACATGGCACACACGCGAACCCAGAAAAAACACTCACGTGTTTCGGATCATCTATTTTACTCAATCTAGAAATAATGCGACAAACCTCTCGGTATTAGACTGACTAAATGAATATGAATGTTAGTTCCATGTAATCACTTGCCTTCATAAAGGCTATAACTTGTTTCAAATCAAGTAATGCAAGGCACAGACAAAAAGAGCATCTGGCATATTATTTTGTATATCCTTTGGAGAAGTGAGGTAATTACATGGAATTTTAGTATCAAACATACAACCATAACAACTAAACTGATGCATAAATTTTGCAACTGAAGGTGAGTGGCAGGTAATTAAACCCATAAAAAAAGATTCCGACGTATAGCTTTAAACTTACCAGGTACTTTTTATAAATACCGAAATTTTTGGAGACAACATCGACACGTTGACGATTAACGTCGATAATGGACTCTTCAACAACCGACACTTGACCTTTGGGAAAAAACTTGAGCAACCAAAATGGTATCCTCTTTGATATTTTCTTAGTTAACAGCCGTTTAGTGTATAACGTTCCATCTGATAAGAGATATCTTTCCAAAACATCCTCGGACAAGACGTGCTTTCTAACAAAAGAAGCTCAGTAAGGGGTAGGAACGTACGCATGAGGATTAGGATATCTTTTCCAAAACAGTGAGGTAACGAATTCCCAAGGGAACGACAAGTATTGCGTAACATGGACTGTCATCACACAGACGGATGACGCAAGCGTTCGTAATATGCGCCTACGTAAGTATTTAAGGTGGTGACCAATAGTGTTAGATTCAGTTTCAGATTCAGATTTGTATAATAAGGACAGAAGGCCTACAGCCTATGTTATTCCTTTTCTAGTATGCTTCTGTGAGTGTCCAGTCTTCTCTTGAAAGAGTCAATTGAAGGTGCGTACACCACTGCTTCAAGCAGCAGGTTCCAAGTATTGATGACTCGGTGTGAAAACCTGTATGCCACGGGTATTTTGTTCGTTCTTGGCTCTTCCACTCGCCTGCTATGTCCTCTGAGGTGTCCCGATCTAGTGGGAAGAAAGAGAGAGAGTAAGTTAGGACCGAAATCATGTCTCAGTATTCTGTACATCAATATTAGATCTCCCCTTAGTCTGCGATAGGACAGAGTAAAGAGGTTCAGTTTTTCAAGCCGCCCTTTATGTGATAAACCCCGGAGTTCCGGAATTGCACGCGTGGCTGCCCTCTGCACTTTTTCTAGTATGTCTGAGTCACCTTTTAAACAGGGGCTTGCAGCCTGAACATAATTCTCTAACTTAGTTCTCACTAAGGATGTGTATAATGTGGTGAACATGGTAGTATCAAACTTAGTGAATGTCCTTTTCAAAGCCCAGAGGGTTCGAAACCCCTTAACTGCGACCTCCCGGCAATGGGCCGTCGTCTTAAGATCATTGCTCACTGTCACCCCTAGATCCTTATGAGACCGGACTACGGGTAATGACACATCCTTTATGTTGTATGTATTAACCTTTGAATCCCCCAAGTGCATGTAAACACACTTTTCCGAGTTGACAGGCATCAGTCACTCTTTAGACCAGTTTATCATATTATTTAAGTCCGCCTGAAGAGTAAATGCGTCTTTGTCTCCAGTTATTACTCGCCACATTTTTACATCGTCAGCGTATAATAACATTGGAGACTGTACTATACTTGTAAGATCATTAACGTACATAATAAATAGTAAAGGACCTAAGACGGAAGCTTTAGGTTAAGATGCAATAAGTCATTAAATAGCGTCAGATAAAACTGTTAGGAGTCGAGTGGAAATTTCTAGCGTCAAAATAGCAAACAATGCCTTTTAATGTTAGTAGAGCAAGGTTTGCTCGAACGACATTTTGTTCAAATGGTTGTGGATGGAATAGCTTTCGCTTAACATGTTTCCGTGTCTATTAGCGGGGGATCACCAAATCCTCCAGGCAGGAACCTAGGTATGTTAACAATAAAACAGGAAAAGACATTGGTAAATCATAGTGTGATACAATCCTTAGTCCTTAAGAATAGACCAAGTTGCCTCTTAAAGGACTCCTGGGAAGTCGCTTGAACTAGCTCGGCCGTCAGCAAATTCCACCATTTGATAACTCTTAAGGAGTAGAAGTTGTGTCTACAGTCCGTTCTGCTATGTTGTGTCTCCAAATTCTGGTTGTTAATCCTTAGGTTAGTGTTGGAACTAAGCTTGAGTAGGTGTTTGAGAGGATGTCAAGAAGTGTCAAAGATACTATAAGCCATCAGAAGGTCACCTTTAAGACGTCTATACTCTAATGGGTAAAGGTTAAGTGAATGGAGGCGCTCTTCGTAAGGTTTAAATTTGAGTCCTCGAACCGATTTCGTGGCTCGCCGTTGGATACTCTCCAGGGTGTCCTTATCCTTTTGGAGTGATGGGGGAAATACCATGTTGCCATACTCTAAATGGGGACGGATAAAACTATTGAAGATTATATGGAAAGTTCTTCTGTCAAATTGGGAAAAAATGCGCTTCAATGTTATCAGTGCAAGGTTTGCTCGGAAGGCATTTTTGTCACAGTTAGCGTAAGACTTTAAATCGTAGGGCAGCAGGACTCCCAAATCCTTTTCGACTCGGGATGCTACTAGGTAGGAGTTTCCTAAGTTGTAACTGCAGTCTGCGACATGTCTCAGACGGACTACTTTACACTTTGAAGTGTTAAAGTTAAGTCCGTTATCGTCTGCCCAACTTTGAAGTCAGGTCAGATCCTCCTGAAGTGCCTGTATATCGTCTTGGTTGTGTATCACTCTCCAAAGTTTCACGTCACTGGCAAAAGGTGATAGGTCTGATGTTACCTGTTGAGGAAGATCATTTATGTAGATCAAGAAAAGAAGAGGTCCTAGTACTGAGCGCTGGAGGACACTACTAGGACATTCCATAGCCTGAGCGAAGATGAAGTTAACACTAACCTTAAAATGTCGATTTTTCAGATATGAAAAGAGCCAATCGATTAGAGGTGGTCTGATACCCAATCGTTTGAGCTTATTGATAAGATATATATGGTTGGCCATATCAAAAGCTTTTGAGAAATCAAGATAAATGATGTCAACCTTCCTCTTGCGATCAAGGACGCTTGTCCATCTGTCCACCGCAGTCAGTAGGTTGGTTACACAAGAGTGACACTTCCTGAAACTATGCTTTTTGGGTGAGAAGAAGTTTAAGGATAATTAATAGCCGTGTGTACCATCGCAAATCAGGGATACTATAAACTTTAAGGTATAGAGAGAAAAGCCACTGGTCGGTAAACTGAAGGTTCGCTGAGTCGACCTCCTTTGAGAAAATCACGCTAAGCGGCGTTGCTAGGATTGAGGCTGCTTCCCTCAGTATGGCAGAATGGACCATATCTGGGCCAGGGGAAGTGTCTATTCTTATGTGCTGCAGTATCCGGAACACCAAGTCAGTACTCAAGTTCACTTCGGAAAGTCCTTTGGAGTTGCAGATGAGGCTTACATCAGTATAGTTAATGTGGGTCGGTTGAAATATCCGAGAGTATTGTTCAGCCAAAAGTTTGGCGGCGTCGCCGTCGTTGTTGGTAGGGCCGTTAAGACTTTGCAGTTGGGAAACTTCAGTTTTGGCTTGACGAAGAGAGGCTGCATAACGGAATAAGCTTTTTGGATCAGAAATAAATTCATCCGTAAGCTTTATCTGGTGCTGAAGCCTGTCTTATCTTATAGCCTTCGTGCATATGTTTCTGATATGTTTATATTGCCTGTACGCTCTGTTGTTGTCAGTTCGTTTATGCTCTGCCCAACAGTGCCTTTTGTGGCTTAGTAGGCAATGAGTGCGGTTCTTGATGATTGTGGGTTGCTGATAGCTATGGCGGACCGTCTGAGGAACCGAATGGTTTGTAGCACATATGAGCGTGTGCAGTAAGAAGTTCTAATGAGCATCCACATTGAGTTGAGGGTAAACATACCAATCCACCTGTTGTAGATAGTCCTGTAGAGCTGACACATTCAACCGTTTGAAATTCCAACGCAAGTTGTTGGTGGGAATTCATAGCTCAGTTTTGCTGACAAAACTGAAAGCTATAACGGCACTTAGCATAAGACCACCAACACTACTATGTCGTTTTTAACCCGTGATACTCCTAGAGGGAAGTTATCTAAGTTGTGTGCGTAATTTGCAACATGTGTCAGATGGATTATTTACACTTTGAAAATCCGTTGTTATCTGCACGAACCTGAAGTCGTGTCTGGTAGAAACATTCTCCCCGAAAATCTCTATCGTTTCTGAAATTTGATGACTCGGATGACACTTTCTGAGGAAAGTCATTTATATCAATTAGTGGAAGAGATCCTTTAGTTGTCCTGTATCTGTATCCTGTATCAATCGGATTGTATGCTGATTGTCATCGGAATATATATATCGCCGACCCTCGTATATAATTATCGAATTAATCCGCGTTAATGAACAACGGAATTAAATAAGTCAAATGCATATGTATATTTCATGCATCCATTTATTTAGACATACAGCCGAGGAAACGAAATAAAAGGGGGAGTGGGAACGAATCGAAGAATGCAAGTAAGCCAATTCAATTTAATCGGGCTTTAGGGTCAGTGAAATGTCACTGAGCCCCAGCCAAATCATCCGGTTGTTGGGTCACTGAGTATCCAGCGGATCGTCGATCCCTGTCAAGGACAACCATCGCGCATCAATTGATCGTATGTTATGGACTGGCGCATGCGGTGGTGGTCTCTGTACACATTTTTACTAAGATATTTTCTTAATAACGTCCTTTGTGTTATACGGTCTTCAAAGCAGCCGTAGTACTTTGATACGTCTAACGGGTAATCCACGTTAGATGTTAACCGCAAAGTGTGACTTAGAAGTTAGTTGGTTCGTCATACCATTCCCGTCTAACTCGAGAAGGCCTCCGACCATTCGACATAGATCATCTACGTTGGTGGTATACAAAGCGTTACTCAATATTTCAAGTCATTACAAAAATAAGTTGCTGACATATAATAAATAAGATAAGCAGTCAACACTTGATCATGTAGAAACAGCCAGGGTTAATAAAACAATAAATGACTTGGTTAAAGTATGGTTTGAGGATAGATCAGCCTGTCCAGAAGCGAGAACAACTTGTGTGTGTAGCGAAGTGTTTGTAAGCGATAGTCAATAGGTCATGTTATGTGTGTTCACAAACCGGAATGGAAGGTTAAGAGTCATATTTTTTTAACGACGATTTTACGAGCAATAATGATAATCGTGTAAGTTCTAATAATCGATGAAAATGCAAATATTAACAAAAAAAATTACAAAAAATTTCTAACTTAACTACCCACATAGTCTTAGTAATAAACTCCAAGGTGTCCAAACTACGACATTCTGTAGCCTGAGTAAAAGTCGACTATTCAAATATAAAATAAACCAGTCTATTAACGATCGCTTAACACATAAAATCTTTGGCTTATTGGTGAGATACATTTTATTGACCCTATCAATAGATATTGGGAAATCAAGGTATGTAGCATCAACCCTACCACGATGATCAGGAAATGTTACTTATCTATCAACTGCAGCCAGCAATTTGACGATACAGGAGTATCCCTTCCTGAAAATGTGCTATCGTGGCAAAACGATGTTTACATAGAGTGAGTAGACACATAAACCGTCGTATATCAAGGTCCCCATAACTTTTAGGGATAGTGAGGTGACTGCCACCGGACAGTAGCGCCT